AGACAGAGTCAGGATACAGGATGATCTTGACAGGCTGGAAAACTGGGCTAAAACAAATAAAATGAATTTCAATGGGGATAAATGTAAAGCTCTGCATTTATGTAGGAAAAATCAAATGCATAATTATAGGTTGGGAGAGACTTGTCTTGGCAGTAGAATGTGTAAAACAGATCTAGGGGTCTTAGTAGACCATACACTGAACATGAGTCAGCAGTGTGATGTGGTAGCTAAAAAGGCAAATGCAATTTTGGGCTGTATCAACAGAAGTATAGCGTCCAGATCACACAAAGTGATGGTACCACTTTACTCTGCTCTGGTGAGACCTCACCTAGAGTATTGTGTTCAGTTTTGGCCACCACAGTTTAAGAAGGATAGAGACAAGCTGGAATGTGTCCAGAGGAGGGCAACGAAGATGGTGAGGGGTCTGGAGACCAAGTCCTATAAGGAAAGGTTGACGTTTAGCCTGGAGAGGAGACAACTGAGAGGTGATCTGATATGATAACCATCTTCAAGTACTTGAAGAGGATGGTGTGGAGTTGTTTTCTGTTGCCCCAGAAAGTCGGACCAGAACCAACGGGTTGCAATTAAATCAGAAGAGTTTTCAGCTAAACATTAGGAAGAACTTCCTGATAGCTAGAGCAGTTCCTCAGTGGAACAGGCGTCCTCAGAAGGTGGTGGGTTCTCCTTCTTTGGAGGTTTTCAAACAGATGCTAGATGACCATCTGACAGCAATGCCAATTGTGTGAACTTAGGCAGATCATGACAGGGAGGGCAGGAAGGGTTGCCTCAGTGCGTAGTTCTTGTGGCCCTTTCTTACATACCCAGGAAATGCTGATTGCCACTTTGGGGTCAGGAAGCAATTTTTCTCCAGGTAGGGCTGCCAAATCCCCCCGGGGGGCAGATTTTCCCCCCGCTTTGGAGGCCCAATTTCTGCCCCCGCGGAATCGGGCCCCGGGGGAAACCCCACCCCCGCGTGCACGTCACTTCCCTGTGACGTCATGATGCTGGGCACACACCGGGAGCGAACCCAAACTCCCCCACCGGCAGGTAAGTCTGGACTTGGCAACCCTATCTCCAGGCCAATTTGGCCAGGGATCCTGGAGGGTTTTTGTCATCTTCTGGGTGTGGAACAGCAGTCATTGGGGGTGTGTGAGAGGGAGATATTTGTGAATTTCCTGCATGGTGCAGGGGGTTGGACTAGATGAGCCTGTAGGTCTCTTCCAACTCTATGATTCCATGAGACAGCTCTTTCGAGAACTGCCCTTGAGAGAACAGCTCTAAAAGAACTTGTAACTGACCCAAGGTCACACCAGCATGTGGAGGAGTGGGCAATCAAACCGAGTTCTCACAGATTAGAGACTGTGCTCTTAACCACTACACCAAACTGGCTACCACTACATACAGAGTTGATGATTTTGCATACATAGTTGATGAATATAACAAATGACCAATAGGACTATGTACACTTCAGCCTCTAGGGCCTTCCTCTGTGGTCACTAATACTATGATAAAAACACACACACATCCAGAAGTATATATATTTACCAGAAGTGTGGTCATCCAGCCAAACCCACCTTTTGCTTCTTATTCTGTTTACCTTGTTTGTTGTCAAAACCCAGGGCTTTTTTTGTAGCAGGAACTCCTTTGCATGTTAGGCCACACACCCCTAATGTAGCCACCCATCTCTCTCCCTTTAAGTGTGGAACCCGTGTTTCCTCCCAAGCCAGATCTCTGCAAGCTTGCAGAGAAATGCCAGCTTCAAGCTCTTAAAAGGGAAACACGGCTGTTCTTAAAGGGGAAACGCCGGCTCCTGCATTTAAAAGGGAAACGCCAGCTCCTTTAAGTGCAGGGAACTGCCGTTTCTGGAAATCCTGTGCGCGGGGGGGGGGGCCTGCGGACGTCCCCAACGTGACGTCATCACACCGGGGATGCCCCGCCCCCTCCAGGAACACCCCCAAAGTCCCCCGCTGGGTGTGGAAGATGGACTTGGCAACCCTAGTGTGGCATCAACCAAGAGTTGCAATGAAGTGGTCATTTGTTATATTCATCAACTACGCATGCAAAATCAAGAACTCTGTGTGTAAAAACGACTAAAGCTTCTTTCAGCTCATGTTGATGTTGTATGAAGTCTGATCCTCAGACCACTTGCTTTTAATCTTTAAAAATTTGCTATCGTGTGCACCATAAATAAAAAATATATATTTGATAATATTTATCTTTAGGTTAGCTTGACCCTTCGAACAGCGCTGGTATATTTTGGGTTGGATTTGTTTCCACCCTTTCCCCCCTCATTCACACACTTATCTCCCATGTCCTCTTGGCCCGGCTGCATATCTGGTTTCCCCTAGCCTGTCAATAAGATGTGACCCTTACAGCCTAGCCACATCATTTCCTGTTTCCTGTTCTACCCTTCCCACTTGACTTGTCCTGCAACAAAGACCGTACCTTCCTTCAAGACTTCGTCCTGGCCTCATCTCCGCTGTCTCTGCCATCTTTGAAATGCAGATGAGGAAGTGCCTGCTTCTCAGCTAATGCACCTGGTTGTCTAGGTTACACCTGCAGCTTGTGCTACCCTTTCTCAGTGTGAATTCTAACCAGTTACATTCTGGGTGTGCTCCCTCTGAAAGGATTCTGACCAATCAGTCATCTGGGCCTTCTAGAAATGGATTCTATACACATGGATTCTGACCAATCAGTTCCTTGAGCCTTCCAGACAAGGATTCTACACACTTGGATTCTAACCAATCAGTTCCTTGGGCCTTTTTTGCCACATGGATTCTGACCAATCATATTGATGCTGTCCAGCTCTGCTTCTACTGCTGTTTGGTGTAGTGGTTAGGACTGCGGACTGTAATCTGGGAGAAATGGGTTTTGTTAAATAGTGGGTTCCATGGATGAGCAGGTTCAAGTCCAGTGATCAGCTCAACTTTATTTGTGAATTCAGCAAGAGCAAGACAAGAACCCCAGAGCCTCAGCTCTGTTAAATAGCATGCAATTGCCACACCCAAACACACCCCACTCCCAGTGATAAGATATTTACATAACATTACTACTACACTGGTTTATTCCAGAGTCCTGGTAGGCTATTGTTCTTGTGCTCCAAGCTCAACCAGTCTCTAGTTGGAATGATTCAGTCCCAATCAGTGTTCCCTCTAAGCTGAGTTAGTGTGAGCTAGCTCACAGCTTTTTAGCCTCTGGCTCACAGATTTTTGTCTTCGCTCAGGGAGGATGGCTCCAGAGCAAATTAATTTATGCAGTGAGCTCCTGGCATAAAAGTTGTGACAGCAGAAACGCATTAGAATTGGCTACATTAGGGGTGTGTGGCTTAACATGCAAAGGAGTTCCTGCTACAAAAAAAGGCCCTGGGTTTTGACCACAAACATGGTCAACAGAATAAGAAGCAAAAGGTGGGCGTGGCTGAATGACACTTCTGGTAACATGGGGCCTAATATGCTAATGAGCTGTGCTGTCAGGGCTGTGGCCTAATATGCTAATGAGTTCCTGCTGTTGGGTGTGGCCTATTATGCTAATGAGTACCTGCTGGGCTTTTTCTACAAAAAGAGCCCTGGAAATATAATGGTTGCCGCTAGTTTCAGGAAGCAGCCATATCGGTCTGCAATAGAACAGCTCGATTAGAGAACAAGTTCTCGATTAGAGAACAAGAAGATTTTCGGGGGTATAAGCTTTTGGGAGTTAAAGGTATCTGGAGAAGGAAGATAGATTCAGGTGGGTAGCCATGTTGGTCTGAAGCAGCAGAACAAAGATCGGGTCCAGTGGCACCTTGAAGACCAGCAAAGTTTTATTTCCGGGTATAAGCTTTCGTGTGCAAGCACACTTCTTCAGATACAGTAAAACGGGATTTCCTCAACCGTTACATATAGGAAGAGAGAGGGTGGGGTGGGCTTAGTTACCAGGAAGGGCCAATTAGTCAAGACCGAGACAGAAACAAAAATGGAAATCACCAGTCTATAAATATAGATAGAGGGTGAGCAGTAAATTATCATACAGTGTAATCAGGGCCTTTTTTGCAGAAAAAGCCCAGCAGGAACTCATTAGCATAATAGGCCACACCCAGCAGCAGAAACCCATTAGCATATTAGGCCACACCCCTGACTGCACCACTCATTAGCATATTAAGCCGCACCCCCATGTTACCAGAAGTGTGGTCATTCAGCCACACCCACCTTTTGCTTCTTATTCTGATTACCTTGTTTGTTGTCAAAACCCAGGGCCTTTTTTTGTAGCAGGAACACTTTGCATGTTAGGCCACGCACCCCTAATGTAGCCAATCCTAATGAGTTCCTGCTGTTGGGTGTGGCCTATTATGCTAATGAGTTCCTGCTGGGTGTGGCCAACTTGGGAGCCAGCCGGAACTCCATTCCTGTGCGTTCCTGCCCAAAAATAGCCCTGAGAAGACACTTAACAGATTCAAGGATCAAACAGGAATCATAAGCCTAGTTTATATGGTTACCATTTGTTTGGGTCCAGTTCTGGAGGAAAAACAGTGAAGGAAATAAATATGTCAGAATTGGAGATTGATTGTGGAATGCTTAGAATAATAATTAGTTGAAGGGAGTTTTGACTCTCAAAAGCTTAGAACCTCCGTCCCCCCCCCCCAAATCTTGTTGGTTTCTAAGGTTCTACTGAACTCGAATCTGGTTGCAATTAGTTAATTCTAGATGGGGGTGGAAATGTTTGGCCACCCTACAAAACCTTTCCTATGCCCTCCTGAGGAGTTCTGGCTTACAAGCAACCTCTGTCCATCACATCTTATTTGACCCTATGTTGATGCCTGAGCTGAGATTCGAACTCAGGGCGTCATGATCACACTCTCTACACCTCCAAGCAAGACCAGAAACAGGTAGAGGGGTGTGTTAATCTGTAACGGTTGTGCCAAGTCAGCATTTATTAAGGGAGTATTTCCACCAGAGGCCCTGCCCACCCTTATCCCCCTTCCGTGGGCGCAGAAACATCGCCGAGTCAGAAGGGCAGCTGCCACTTTAGCGGGTCCCTGCCAGCCGTTGGCATTCGTGCATCCTGTAGGCACACATGTAGAAGATACCTGCAAGAAAAGGAGATGGGAAAGGGGGGGGAATTCAGCGCTATATGGTTCTTGTAAGAGCTGCTGCAAGTATTATAACAAGACGACTGTACTTAAAAAATGAACTTGGCCTCAATGGGTTAAATTGTCAGGGCATCGCCCAGGGGATCCTGGGAAGTGTAGTTCTGCAGAGGAATTGAGCCCTCTTTGCGAGGTATCCTTCCTCAACCACCACCACAAAACAGTCATATTGGTCCATTACGGGGGGAAAAATCCATCAGAGCAGGATTAAGGCCAAATTATTAGAGAAACGACAGAGTTACAAAGAAGGAAGCCAGCTGTTGAATTCATCAAAATCCTTCACGTCACTGGAAGTTCATCCCCCTAAAAACAGGGGAGAGGAAAAGGTTTTTGCAATCTCTCGTGCGACAGGCAAAGCCCTTGTTTGAAAAAACCCTTGAGTGGGTGGGGTTGCCAGTTCTGGGTTGGGAAATATCTGGAGATTTTGGGGTTGGAGCCTGGGGCAGGGTTTGGGGAGGGGAGGGACCTCAGCAGGGTATAATACCATACAAAGCACCCATTTTCTCCAGGGGATCTGATCAGGGCCGGCTCACTCACTAGGCGATCGCCTAGAGCGGGCTGGCCCTTAGGGGCACCAAACTGCACCCGGCCCCGTACTCTGGGAGTTTCTTGATTATTTGTGTTTTTCATTCTTCCTAAAATGCATTTATTTTTGAAAAATGGTGGGCGCACGGGGGGGGGGGGCGCCCGAAGGGATCCTCGCCTAGGGTGCAAAATAAGCTGGGGCCGGCCCTGGATCTGATCTTGGTCATCTGGAGATCAATTGTAATAGCAGTTCTCCAGGTGCCACCTGGAGGTTGGCAGCCCTAAGTGGGAGTGAAGGACTTGAGCAGATTTCTTATGCTTGGTGGGAAAGGGTACCAGGCAACACCAACGTTGACAGGAGCAAAGAAGCAAGTGTTGGTTCGCCTTTTGAAAAACAAAGAAGCCGGCAGTGTTGTGTCTTTACCCTTGACATGTAATGTTAAGCTTGAAACCTTAGCCAGGATTCTAATCTGGAACAATCTCATTGGCTAATGAACAACTGTAACCAATCAAATATAAGAGAGCTGTACTGGAGGAAACAAAAGGGATTGGTTGTTATCTGTGTAATATGATTGGATCTTAACTATGCAGGGGCGT